CACACACACACACACACACACACACACACACACACAGTTTTGCGCACACCAGCCAGACACACAGGAAGCACAGGAGCAAATAGATCTAATCTACACTGTGCAGCTCATCTCAGAATTGAAAACAAAACATAAATTCACTCTCAAATTAATTCTCTGACAGGATGATGCTGACTGGAGGCTGCAGCAGAAAAAAACAACAGACCCATCGCATTCAGCACCGACCACATGCATCGTGTTTTTATTTTTGTCGAGGCCTGGAAATGGATTCCTGCAAGCTCGGCCTGAAAGCACAAAATGTGAACAGTACAGCAGAGAGGTGTCATTTGCTTTCAGTCGTCCTTGACTTGACTGCTAAATCTGACACGGCTGAGTTTCTATAAATTCATTCAATGACTTGAAGGCAGCATCATAAGCTCCCACCACAGATCTGCACATGCAGTGATGTTGCATAACGAGGGTTTTGTATCTGCTGCTCAAGCCGCCATGCTGACCAATAAATAATCCTCAGATCAAATGCGTGATGTGACCTGTCAGTCATTGTAAAAGGGTTGTGTTTACAGAATGTGGCCATGACATGCATGATGTCATGAGAGCAATAAGTTACCAGTTGTAAAATACGATCCGATCACCTAATAGCTCCATTTTAGATTCGTTTGAGAAGTAAGCTGTCTGTGTATTAGTTCACTAAACTCTTCTGATGATTTTCAGACTTCTCAGAAGTGAGATGCTTGTGAAAAAGCCACAGAATCAGCTCAACACATCACTGATGTAATGTGAGTTCCTCAAACTGGGGTTATGTGCTGTGCAGTTTTCTGTTAGGTTCCTATTTATTTGACCCCGCAGCCTTTTTTAGAAAATTTGTTCATCACCATTTTTAACTCCTGTGAAGTAATTGATTCCTTATTAATATCTTGCAGTTTTTTTAATGTTATTTTAAGATAAAGCAACACTTAACTTCAAGTCCCCCAATATCATGTTGATAAGTAATGTAATAAATGTTTTGTAACACAGAAAGAAGGTTGTTATTATAAACGATATGCCTGTGGACCGAAACATTACCGAAAAATGATTGAACTGTGCGTGCAGGACAAAGTCACAAAGCTGCTCTGTGTTTTCTCTTTTAATAATATTCCCACTGTCGCCTCAGAGGTAACATGTAGTTCAGGGATTAGGAATTGAAGACCTCTATAATTGTAGCTGCTGGGACAATGAGACCTGTCACATGCACCGAGGTTCCAAATGCTCTCAGGCATATTTCTGTCAACAAGGCCTGATTTCTAGTTCAGCTGCCGAGCACAAATACTCTGCATTTACCTCCATATACTCTTTATCTTTATATACAGTCTCTGGTTTTTTACATGCTTTTAAAGGTTGGACTTCATCTGTAATCATGATTGTAAAATTTAGCAAAAGTCTTATTCTTCAAACAGATGATGCACTATCTCAATCTCATAACATCAGGGCTGCACAAAAAAGAGAAAAGTAGTTTGGAGCCGACCCTACGAAAAGGAAAAAAGAATATGTAAACTGACAGAAAATGTGTATTTGAAATACTTTACTATTATTTAAGAAAGGCCATGAATACTTGTCTGTCCCAAACCATCCAGTCTTTGCAATTTCCAAGGAACTCAAACACTGTCTGGTCTCCTCAGTACTCATCACAGTGGGTAAATGTTGACCTTTAACCGCTGCTTGTTTCACTAATGAGTCAAACAGATATGAAGCGATATGCAGCTGGTGGAGAATTATGCAGGGATAAAAGAGATAAACGATAAGAGATGATATAAATATTTATGGCAGCATTACAGTGGATGTATCTCAAGATATGCAGCATATTAGAAAAGGATCATGTGTTTGTTATTCCACATTTATTTACCAAGCACACAAAAGAAGAATCATTTACACTGGGTGAGAGCAGATTTAACCAGATGTTTAAAAGCAGCAGCCACCAGGGGGCAGTAAAGAAGGTTAGTCAGACTGACTGAGTAATTCACAACCTCTGTTTCCTGAGAAGTTTTTATTCATTAACACCTGAAATAACAAACGGTATGGGTGCACAGATTTCAGAGGTGACACCACTCATGGACTTTGAACACACTTAATGGGGGAAAAGGCCTTCGGTAGAATGAGGTAGCTAATACAGAAATTGTCAGGAATTTAAAAATATTTTGTACATAAACCTACATTTTCAACGTGTCATTTATATTTATTATGTGATGTCTTTTTCCAGGATTTAAGGCAGCACATTGAAATAAAACACAATAATATTTTTAAAAAAGGGTCGGGGTTGGTTTATTTTACATTTCCATGTAAAATAGAAAGAAGCATTTCCACTGATCAGACCCAGAAACTGGTTTTAATGCTGTGGCTGAGTGGTGACTAAGTTGAGTTAGAATAAGTGTTGTCATGATTGCTAATGCTAAAAGCAAAATCCCGTCACTTAAATATAAATTACCGTATAGCAAGTGGAGTGAGGTGAGTTTCTTTAACCATAAAACCCATGGAAGAAAACGGCCACGGCCAGGAGGATGAGGGCGTTCGCGTTGACGACGTTCCTCCATAGAGGCTTCTCTGTGGTGTCTGTGAGCTTTTTCTGCAGCTCTGCCTGCTCCTCTGGACTCAGCTTGGGGGCGTTTTTCTGCTCCAGGCCACAGAAGCACATCACTGCCTTCTTGCAGAAGCCGGGCTCGTCCACAGGTTCTGCGACGGAGGAAAAATCGGTGAGGAAAACCTACCAGTGTGCACGTGTGTGTGCCTGTAGTATATGTCTGCTGATTACCTTCTATTTCCAAAGAGTCGCAATCTTTGTTTTCAACCCAGTCGTCCTGCTCCAGATCCACTCTCTTCTCAGTCGAGTTCCTCAGGCTCCAGCAAAGTCGATACAGCTAGAAAAACAACCAAACGAAATATTTATAACGTTTGTCATGGCAGTGTCCTTGTGAAAATGGCTTGGGGTAAATCAATGATTCATCTGGCCTTATCTCGCAGCAGCAGTCACGTACGTGTTTGTCCTCAATGGGTTTTGTCATGAGAGAGACGGCCAGGATAATGACACAGGACGTCACAAACAGGATGATGGAGAAGTAGAGGTAGTGGACTCCGCATATGATGGTGGGGCAGTTGCTGGGATTGACGCAGCTGCCTGTGCCATACGCAAACTCGGCTATCATCCTGGACAGGCCGATGAGCAGGCCAATAGTGAGGCCGTAAAATGCACCCTGAGGAAAGACAGAAGCTTAGACACATGGATGTAAACTGTGATTGTAAAAATTACAATCATGGGGTAGTATTTATATTTTTTGCAGAGATAAGAAACTTTATTCTGATTTCATTTCTGTGGGATGAATATGAATTTATAGCTGAGTACTATTCCATTATGACTCGGCAACAAAAAGCCACCACATCATGCATACTGTTGTTGACAAGTCATGAAACATGTTTATCGAGAAACCAGGAAATCAGCTGATCGTGTGCATGACGTCAGTGTTTCACTAATGTGACAATCATATAATAATCAAACAGAGGCTACGTGTTCACATTTCAAATGAAAAGGCTTTTCATGTTTTTTCAACAAATAACATATTATGTCCATGATATTCAGCTGCTTGTCAGAAATGTAAGACGCTCGATTGCACAAAAAGTCAGAAGAAGTAGTAAAAATATATTGCAATTGACCTGTGGCCATAAGATCTTCATAAAAGACTGTTTGGCCGCACAGAAGCTCCCAGAGAAAACCCACGTGAGCACGAGGAGAAAAGTCAAACACTAAGCTGAAAGGAAGTTTCTGTGGTGTCAACTCTTCTTGCTGTGAGGCAACATGTCACCCTAAACCATCATGTTAAACACTCCAAGTACTTGATCGGCCATAGCGTGTCACAGAGCCACTGACTTGGTTGTAGAGTCCAACACATAACAAGTGAATTGTGTAAATAAATTGAGATTGATTGAGAAACTCACAGCCTCATTGACACGTTTGCAGAAGATGGCCAGCAGGAAAACGGCTGCAATGGGTGGTGTGAGGTAGCTGGTGATGGACTGGATGTAGTCAAAGAGCTGACCGCTCTGGGCAGACTGCACCACAGGGATCCACGCTATGCTCACAGCAATCAGGACCAAGATAAACACTCTACACACAGCAAAACACACACATGGGAAAAGTAACAATCAGGAATTAAAATAATAATCAGAAATCAAATTGAACTCAACCCCCGAACATGTTTTACCTGCCGGCAATCATGAGTTCCTTTTCACTGGCTGTGCGGCGGATCTTGGTGTAGATGTCCATTGTAAAGAGAGTACTGGCACTGTTAAAGATGGACGTAAGTGAGCTCATCAGTGAGGCCAGCATAACAGACAGCATAAGACCTCTTAGACCTGGAACAGACGGAATAACAGATTGAAATGGAGAACTAGATAACTTACAGAAAAAGGCATCAGACAAATCTCTGCATGCAACCGACCATTGGGCATGAGATCCACCACCAGTTTGGGATAAGCAATGTTGGTGCAGCCCACACTGGTCCCACAGAATTGTTCACATTGTTCTGGCTCCACACACGCAACCTCATCTAGAATGCAACAATAAGATCAGCAGGACATTTAGAATATTTAAATCCTTCATTATCTCTGTGGTAATTAAGAAAAACACACTGACCGGTGTAGAGGATCCTACTAATCATTCCAGGGAAAACCATGAGGAACATGGGCAGCAGCTTCAGGTAGCCACATAGGATGCAGCCGGCCTTAACGTGAGATAAGTTCTTGCCTGAGAGGCAGCGCTGGACAATGACCTATGGAAAGAAAGACAGAGCCATTATCCATCCATCCATCCGTTTTATTCTGCTTGGCCCGCTAGGGTCGTGGAGGTAGCCAGTCGAGTATTGTTTCCCAGGCGTCCCTCTCCTTAGCCACATTTTCCAGCTCTTCCTAGGGGATCCTAAGACACTCCCAAGTCAGATGGGATATGTAGTCCCTCCAGCAAGTTTCAGGTTTACACTGGGTTTTCCTCTGGTAGGGCGTCCCCTATAGACCTCCAATGTAAGGCGCCCAGGAGGTATCTTGACTAGATACTGGAACCACCTCATCTGTCCATTTTTGATTTGAAGTTCACTACCCAGGGCTCGTGACCATGAGGGTTGGAATGTGGGCCAGTAAATCAAAAGCATTGCCTTACAGTACGACGCTGATGCCGCACCGAGCTGCCTGTCCATCTCGTGCTCCATCTTCCCCTCATTAGTGAACAAAGACCCTGAGATACCTAGACTCCTTCACTTGGTGCAGCAAACCACCCCCAACCAGGAGAGAGCAATCCACTGTTTTCTGGCAAAGAGCCATTATGCAGTTAGTGCTAAATGGTTGTGAACTCCAAACTATTCTTTATGTCTCAGGTTCAACTCAAAATATTTGCAGAGTAAACACTTAAGGCATGCTCACTGAGCAATTACTCTCTTTTGTTAACTGAACAGGAATAAAGGGAAACTGACCATAAAGTGTTTGTGTGTATTTTTTACATCTTATCTTATCGTACAACTAAAAGCAGGCCAACTAAGGCCACTTTAGTGCTGTCCAGCAAAAACAGGAGAGATAAAGATACATTATGTGTGTACAAGTGGGCTGTAATCAGTTGAATGAGTTGGTGTGTGTGCGCTGTTGTGATCGTGGATTGTTGGTAGTGTTTCGAAATGTATTACCTCATCAAAGGAGGTTATGGTGGTTGCTGTTGTCGGTTGGTCTGCTTGTCAGCAGGATAACGCTAAAGTTGCGGAACAGATTTTCTCAAAACTTGGTGGAAGGATGGGACACGTGCCATGGAAGAACCCATTAAAATGTTAGACCCAGGAGTTGTTTTTTCCAATTTCTTTAACATTGTAAGACTTTGTTTCGCAGAAGACATTTTCACCAAATTCCCAGGGAATGATTCATGGATCGTGTAAGAAAACATCAACAATAATTAAAAGACAAAGGCCCTGACAACTCTGCTGATTTGCTTGACTGACCTGATCAGTGCACCAGTACCAGGTGGCCTGAATGGTGAGTCCGAACACCAGGCCAGGCCACGGCAGGTCACCCGTTATTGCATTCCTAAAAATATGGAAGGAGTCTGCCCGAGGCTCGTAGCAATTTGCACTGATGTTAGCCGTCATTGAAGGGATTGCCTCCATGTAGCGCTCCTGGAAACGCTCATAGCCTCCCACCTCATTGAAAGCTGAAGATATGTGAACAAATTAGAATAAAGTCGATTTTTACTTCACAGACTGGGTTTTAGCTGTCACAACCACAGATAAAAAAAAAACAATACAATATTACCAAAGCCCATAAGGATGAACGATCCAACAACCATGATGATGGTCTGTAGGGTGTCTGTGTAGATCACAGCAGCCAATCCACCTTAAATACACAACAATAATTATATCAATCAACACATTTATCTCCACTAAATTACATAATCTAATATCTGGGGAGAATAAATCAACTAATGTTCATACATGATCCAATTCTTCCTGCCAAATTAGCTAATCAGTGCATAGAGATGTCATGTAAATTACGTTTCACTGCTTAACCTGCGAAGCTAAAGTTCATGTGTGGATTCATTGTCACAGAACAGCAACAGAAGGCCACTCTCTGCTTATCACAGTCCACGGGTAATTAACCACAACAACACACCACAGATAAACTGGCCAGGAGAAGGAGTTTGCATGTGCATCTATATGTCTATGTATGGCCTTACCTTTACCCCCAGTCATGGTGCCATTCAGAAAGTAAGATAAGATTCCTCTGGCTGCTGTTTTATGCCGGTCTATTAGTTCAGTGTTAAAGGAAGCGAGTGCATCCTGAGTGAACAGACCTGTGACGGTGTACAAGGCGGTGATCGATAGTAGCATGACAACAGCGAGGTAGATATTCAGTCCAAGTGCCTGGTTGATGAAGATCGCTCCAGAGAACATGTCAGCCTGAGAGGAGTAGAAAAGACATATCACATATAATCCATAATGTCCAACACTGTGGATGGATGAAATAGAAATATTGCATTTGAGTGACGTCAGCTGATAGGGCATAGCTGAGGCTGACTTACCGAGATCTTGGTGAAGACATACAGGAAGAGGGAGAGCACAGAGAGATAGATGCGAATACGATGACCCCCAAACCTCCTCTTCAGGTACTCAGGCATGGTGACAATCTTAACACACCCAAAAATCATGAAGTTTAAATAAGCTTTCAACTCTCTCACTGTAAAATCGAACATCAGTACACAACAGATGGAAATGCACATGTGGAAAGGGGAATAGATTTGTGAGTGCTTTTTTTATGTCCAAAATATTTGTTGTGTTTACCCCAGCTTTTATGTAGATAGGCACAAAGATCCATCCCAGAATAACGACCACGATGAGAGCCTGAAACACACACACACACGCATGAGGATATAAACAACAAGCAATCACCATTTATGGCAAAAGTTGAATTCTGATGTTCCGTACTCGGCCAAGTGACACATTTATCAGCTCACATGAGATGACGCATGTGTGTTACAGATCAGAGATACATTTGTGTAAGAATTGATAGCTGGGAAATTGGCCCATCATCTGCAATTATACTCACATTCCATTCAAATCCACCAATGGCTATTCCTGAGGCTGCTGCAGTCCCAGCGATTCCTACAAAGTGGCCACTGCCGATGTTGCTGGCAAATAGTGATGCTCCGATCTGTGGAGTGAAACGTTAAATATGATGTAGATGCACAATTTTCAAAAGTTAAAACAGCAAAAACATCCGGTGGAACTTTCACTTGTTAACTTTAATTTGTGTGTTGCCAATTGAAGTACCTTCTTCATAAACTCATTAACCCTTATATCTTTTCAGTGCAGTGAACCAATGCTCCTTTGTTATTGATTCACATTTCTTTGTCAAGTGGATTTGAAAGTACAGATATTTAATGTCCAGTAACTAAGTAAATGTATTTCGTTACATTCCACCACTGCAGAGTTGCCAATCACTCTTCTAGGTTAAGTAATATAAAGAGTCATGGGGTGTTCCATTAGCATTTGTTAGCTGTAACACTGTTTAATGATTAATTATAGCGCTGTCTAATAATTATAAATGAATATCAGTCATGATGACGTCCCAACATCCCTGTGTTCCTGCTGATGCACCACGGTGGTGACACTGTCCCATGGTGTGTGTTGTGGTGTGTCACGTAACCAGTGTAATTAATAAGTAGCCCACCAGATGATACCCACTCCTGTAAGTGCTTTCTTAAGATCATTGCAATCATATTTTATACCACCAATTAGTACAGTAAGCATGTGTCTCTGCAGCCATTATTGCTGTGTGATGACTGTAAGAGATAGATCTCAACAACCATGGAAGTGACTCTCTGATCAATGAGTTACCCACCGGCCACCACACCATGCTCCTCCCTGCGAGGAAGAAGCCCCCGACAGTGGATCGGTTGGTGCGAACCATCGCCTGCAACGTGAGACAGCGACATTTTAGAGGAACAAACAAAACAACAGTATGTCACACACTCTACTCCAACACTCCCTGCACATTTGTTAATGATTACATTTTATTTCATTGTAAAGCTGCTGTAATACTGATCAAGAGGAAAAGAGAATCAAACACATTAGCAAATCACAGTACAATTATTGCAATAAATGATGAATATTTAACAAAGTAAGTTTAAAAATCCTCTGATCTGCTCTAAAACAATTATTAAAGGTTGTTAAGTAAGATAATATAATTGCACAATACAAGTGCACTCTGCTCTGTTTCCAAGTTTCTGCTGTGAAGGTGTTAAGACAACTTTGTTCTCAAAAGTGAGAAGCGTCCATAAATAATGATTATATTGTGTTCTCCCACAAATGAAATAATATATATTATTAATATATATATATTCAAAATCACTTTATACATTTGTTTAAATAAGTTTTATCATTATCAGGATTATGACATTTTCCACCGTGGCCCCAAACAGACAGAATCTCTCACAGCTATAAAGCAGAAGAGGAGTTAACTATTCACAAGCAGGAAGGATTCAAAGAATGTTAATCTGAAACTGGAGAACTCACCCATACTCCGACAGCCAACACAACAAGAAAGTAGATCACAATGACGGAGATATCTGCTGCATTGTTCAGGGCCACAGTGGTCACGTTGCTTCCCATGTTGCTTCTCATGCTGGTCCTTGTGAGGGACCATCCAAAGTAGTCTTGAGACATCTTGGCCGAGAGTGTGACCAGAGAACAGGAGAGTTTCTGTTGTCGCACCTCTTTGACTGAAGCACCTGCCTCAGACTGACTTTATGTACCTGGGTCCTGCCTGATAGAGAGAGTGTGTGTGTGTGTGTGTGTGTTTGTGTGTGTGTGTGTGTGTGAATGAGTGTCGGAACGAGATCATCATCCAATAAATGACCAGATCTGGTGTTATTGGTTGTATCTGGATGTACAAATAAACCTGGCTGGCCAACATGAGTGTGCATGTGGAAATTAAATGTGTAAAAATGTTTAACCTTTTATCAAATAATGCTGTTTAACATTAACCCACAAGGAAATGGCTCATTGACATGGCTATTCAAAAACACATGATGGCAAATATATAGATACAGATATAACAAGAACACAACAGAATTTTCCTTTAAATTGTAAAAATAAAATTGTGCTATTCTTAAAACACAACTGAATGACTGCTCATAATGGAAGTAAAACTATTTTACTTTACTTTATGTATTTATGTTTGTAGGATGAAAGATCAATTAGCTGTATCAATTGGTTATAAAATATGATTATCAATTACTTGAGAATATTGCTGTCAAAGCAAGGCGTTTACCTTTGAGCTATAAGACCTGCCAATGAGGAAATATTTTCACATTTACTGTAAGTCGATGACAAATAAAAGGCACTTAACCCTGACTAACCCGCCCTAAGTGAAGAACACCAAACATCCTCATACACTCCAGAGTGTCTGTGTTAATTATTAGTCTAAAGGCCGAAGTTTGAGAGAAGCAATAAACAGAGATGTTGACGGTCGTGTTTGGTTTTTACAAAACATTTCATTCATCAGTTTTCATTGTGTAGATTCTGACTGTATCTCAATCAAGGCCAAGCAATCTATTCATGTCTGTCTCGCACTTATACTTTTAGATAAAACGGAAAATTCACCAGAATAAGGTCGACACATCTTTGCTCATGTGATGGAAACATTAAAAAATGAACCATATCTATCTTTTGCAAGATATATTGGTAAGAGGTGCAAGAGATTGTTCAGTTTGAGCTGCTAAAACATATTTTACCAAATATATCATAGAAATGAGTTGTTGTACCCATCTTTGGACACAAGGTGGAATTGTTGTCCTCAAGATTTCAGTTTTTGAGACAGTTTCATTCAGAAACAACATTTAAACAAACACGTCTAATCTGGAAAATCACCAGATGCTGGACAGAATCAACAAAAGCCTGACAGTGAACCTGGGAGGTAGTTAAATTGTTTGTGGGAACTTGTACTGGTGTGAGGACATTCTTTGTCCTCTGAACCAGTGTTGTTCCCATCACCAGTACTGATTGTGTATTCAAAGAAGCTTCCTGCAAAAACAATACATTGAAAAACAAAAAAATGCTAAAATATATGTAATATTGATGAAAAAATAATGGAAACGAAAACTTTAAATATTCAGTTTCTGTGATTGTCATCATATTATATACCCCTCACCCCAAGGCCTTATTATCTGTACAACTATAAAGACTTTCAGCAGCCTCTAGGTGTCTCTACAGGACAGTAACGGAATCTGTGACACAGGAGTTTATACCAATGAGATGCAGATATTTCATATATTTATTTACGGTCATTTTGCATCATGTCTGAGAACAAATCACACAGTAGTATTGATTTCACATTCATCCACCAGGTGTTTACACTCATGTTGGATGATCAGACTGCTTCTCTTCAGACTGTCTTGATTGACAGCTCCCTCACTCTCCTGCTTTAAATCAGATGACATCGTCCCACATCCGGTCTGACTGCAGGTCTAATCAGCCAGAGACATTAAACACAGTGTACCTGCTGTGGCTGTGCAACTGAACCTTTAGGGCATCCTGGTCATTGGCAAAGGCTCCAGCAAATTCCACACATTTATAGATATTAATTCCCTAAATATGTTGATTACACACAATCAAAGCAAAACTATAATAAAATTCTTGTTATTAAATGTCCGTGAAAAATGATCTATCAAGATTTAGTTTGCACTCCTGTAATCCTGAAGCACTGAGGATTTCAAATTACTCCAGAATACGAAATTGTTAAGAGTTTTTAAGCACGTCTAGGCCCTGAAAAAGCCCTGCCCCCAAAATGAAAATATTAATTTCAATTTCAATAGTAATAACAGAGAAACAAACAAAACCATAAGAAATTACCACAGTGCTGGCTGTTGTGGAGAGGAAGACATAATGGGGGTGAGATGAGCGAGTTATCAGGCCAGTATTGTTACAAATGGCTGCTTGAAATCTCTAAATGGGGACAATCAATATTCACTTGAATGAGAATCAATCACTGGAATGAGGCCAGCGCTCAGTGGGGATTAAGGCTCAGTCACACCTTCTGATTTCAGACCCAGAGAGGAGATCTCTGCCCTCCTCTAACACCTCCACACAGGTCAATGTTTTCTAAGACGTGTTTGACTTCATGAGGCTCAGTTTAAATCTATTTTCCTCCAAGACGAGAAATCTGATCACAAAGCTGGCGAGTGCCTGAGTGGTGTTTAAAATGCCTCAGAGCCGATCAGATCAGCAAATAGCAGCGAGACAGCAAACAAACAGTGCTGAGTAGTGCGAGCAATTGATCTCTGGCAGGAGTCGGCTGCTCACACACAGCAGACTGTAGTCTATATGAAAATGTGAAAAAATACAGTAGTTGTCCTAAGCAGAGCAGCGATGTGTGTGTGTGTGTGTGTGTGTGTGTATTCTGAGATGAGTGTCCTGTGGTCAAGACAGACACAAATGTGTCTTACATGAACTTCTCCATGTGTCTACATGTATGATCCAGGCGGAGGGGCCCATGGACTGGAGCAAGGATACAAACCCCTCAGGCCTCAGACTGCAGATGTATGGGCAATATTTATCTCGTGGCTTCAAGTTACTGCTTCACATTGTGCTTTGTCCATGCTTCAGCTTCAAAAAGTTAAAGTTAAACTAGTTTTTACATTCCCAATGCAGCCTTAAAATACACCACGGCACTTTAAATATGTGTATATCATTTATGCTTTTACATTTAGCTTTATTTATGCGAGTTTGCATTATTATTTAGCTAAGAATATAATAATGATAATAGTTGTTGTTATCATTGTTGTTGGATTATCATTGATAAACTGATTATTTTTTTAATCCAAGAACAAAACCGGATTCAGGTCAACACCAATGTCAGTCAATAGGAAACATGTGGAGACTGGCCTGGAACTGGGTCACCACATTCTGATAACCCTTGTACACTCAAATGGGCTGAGGACGTAACTACTGATATATCTTATAGTTCACATACTGATTTAAGAAACTTCACTTCCACTGATACAAATGATTGGACGTATCTACTGCACAATCACTTAGCAGTAAAGAAAGACGTGCAGAGTTCACTTGTAGGTCAGCATAACTTCTTTGCAGAAGTTCAAGAGTAATCACTGCATCATTTCTGGGCATGGTTCCATGTTCTGTGACAGAGGGGCCTTGTAACCACAAGCCATGACACAGACTGAGGGGCTTTCACACAAGGAGCTGTAGATCTGTGCAGGGAAGACAAGGGTGAAGGAAGTGCCTTCTGGTGATCAGCTGGAACTTGCACACACAGGCCCCCCAGGGGCTGGTCGTTAGAAGGGAGGCTCACCAATGATGCCCCCCCCCCTCCCGCTGATCACACTGAGGTGCATGTGAGCAGGAATGTGGGAGAAGACACTCAAACATTATTCTTCAGCTCCCAGTGACATTTTCTCTGAGCCTCATTTGCTGACAGTTTAGAAAAAGAGGCTCCCAAAACGAATGGATGGATTGTAGGGCCACATGATGAGTAAAAAATAACTGATTGAAATGAATACTTAGCCTATCTATCTATCTATTTATCTATCTATCTATCCATCGGTCTGTTTGACTGTCTACCTCTTCATTTTGTCATTTTGTTGGCCACTAGGTGGCGCAGTCACACAGCCCTGCAGAAATGATGCATCACTGTGACGTGAGGGACAATAAACTGAAAGAGCTCTGGTTGCACTAAAAACACAAAAACACAGTCGGAGAGATGGAGTCCATGTTTTCATTTTATTTCATCAACTACTCTGTGTAATAATACTGCAGGTCAGAGGCTGAGATCAGCTCCTGGTGTGTTTGGCTGCACATCAGCAACAGAAAAGTATAAATGACTGAACAGGGATCTTTTAATAATCTTTAAAATCTTCTCATAATGTTTTACTGCAGGTTCATTCTTTAGCACTTACTGCAGAACCATCAAATCACTGAATGAACTCAACGCAAAATGCATTTTAATGTATTTTAAAGCACCAGACATCTAATTCTATTTGCACTAGTTTCTACTGCTTAAATTTGAGTGTGTATTCTGTATTTTACATCCACTGATATATGTTTAATAGGGAGGGGGTTTTGTGTTTTGTTTCTTTTCTTGTTGTGATTGTAAAGTATTGAATCTTAAATCTTGTGTATCACATTTTTACTTGTATGTAGGCTACTGGGTGTGAAATACTCCACAATTCATATAATGCTGTTAAAATACAAATATATATATTTTTTATTGAAACAAAATGAATATTTCCTTTAAAAAATGTAGTGTATTCAACAAAGTMCCACCAGTCAGTCTTTAGACCAGTTTAAACAAGGATCCTTTTCTGCTTCCTCCCACCTTTAAATATATATATATATATATATATATATATATATTTATGTCTTATAGGAATCATTTTTACAGTAAGTGGAAAAGTGGTGGGAGACATTTTCACTGGAGAACCAGCTACTAACGAGTTCAGGTCCAGACACATGGCGCCGAGGGAATGTCACATCCGTGGATGCTAATGCTAACGCTAATCGGGACCGAGAGGATCCCCAGGAAGCTAACGAGTGAGCCCGAAGCGTGACGTGACACCAGGCGTGAGTTACCCGCTGTCAGTCGGTCGACGTGTGGACGCAGATACAGAGAGGTGAGCTTCATAGTTGCATGTTATTAAAAGTTTTCA